CATTATTCCCCTGAACCTTACTTGAAAGCTGAAAGTCACAGCTATCACAATTACCAATGAAACTTTCAACATGTACTGAAATCTCATCTATATCTCCCTCATCTTCTTCATAAGTTGCAGCTCTACAAATATCAGCAACAACATTTCCGGAAGAATCAACCCCATCCTCATCGTCATCCTCAATATGCTCATGGCAATCTTCCACATGGTTGTGTTCAAAATGAGCAGAAGTTCCTTGATCAGTTGGAGATTCCACAACAGAGTCATCATCATCTGCAGGAATTCCACACTCAGCTGTCTGCCACTCATCATTGTCACTATCAATATTTACAGGGTCAAATTGATTCTGCTCAGCACGTTTTCTAAGCACAAAGACATTAAAATAATAACTGACAAGGTCCCTCTTGCTATGGGAAGGGAAAACTGCAGGGAGATGATCCCAGAAATTCTTACCCAATGACACAGGGTAAGAAAAGACAACATTTTGAAATGCTAGCTCTTCCTCTTCAGTCCATCTTTTTGCAAGTTCCTCCCCTATATCACAGAAACCCAACTCCTCAAATATTTCCGGCCCAAGGTTCTTCCTTAGTTTCTCTCTTGCTTCTGTCACATGTTGTCTAATGCATCTGATAGAACCCTGATCAAGGCACTCACAATCAATTCTGTGTCCCACATCTTCACGGCAAAACTTTGCAGTTGTTTCAGAATCAGGCATTGGAATGACACAAGTACCCATCATCTTCTTCTGATGATCATCATCATCACCCATAAGGCTTGCACATGATGATTTAAGGGGAACTTGGGGATCCGATGCATCTAGACAATCTGAAGAGCTCTTCAGACCCTGTTGCCTCCATTCTGGAATATCAGCTTGATGCTCTGGTCCAATAGAAACTCGCTTTTGAGGAGAAAGAATAGATGAATAGATCTCATCAGCATGAAGAAAAGCCCTAATTTGATGTCCAGATGCAAAATATTCAGGAAACAATGGAAGATGAACTGCCACCTCTGGCTCAGTATCTGCATCTATGCCATTGCTGTTTACCCACCAAAAATGAGGAACAGAACAAGAAGCACTAGTTTCAAATTCCTTATTGGCTCCACTTATCACTTTGTTGCATGGATCCTCATCAAACCTACCTTCATCTTGGCATTTACTGTAAATGTCCTCCCATTTACCTTCTTCAAATTCAAACTCTATCAGTTAGAGAAACTTACTGAATATTTTAACTTGACTGGCTAGGTATGGTCATAAGGCTTATGCACCTAATCTGATGTAATCAATGAAACATATGCAGGCAATTATTTTGCCACGTTAAAAAACATAACACATTTAGTGCACATAGTATTAGAGCTGTGCAACCACATTCCCAAAAAGTATCATAGGCAGGTTCATCAAGTGAATGTTCCACATATTTAATCAATGAACTAAAACAAAATCCACCTTTTGTTTGACACTTGGAAAACACATGCTCATGTATCTGTGCTTGACTAATTGAATAGTATCTTAAGTCCACTATGCAAAGATTGAGTTGGCTAAAAGCCTACATAAGTTTACCTAATAATATCAAGCTCAGTATCATGGGTCACAGAATGCAATACATGCAATTTCTAAAGTAAAAATCGCATGCCCAATCCAAGAACATGTTATCTAGTTATGCATAAAGTTTATAGACATATTAAAATTGTAGTACCAGAAATTTGATGGTTGTGGAGAGCACCATTAGGATGAACACCATTGACAACTGAAGCAAAGCAGCTGGTATTTTCCCATTGCCTTGGATGCTTACAAACAACCCTTTGAGAGTCATCAACATAAGGACGTTTATGAATCATTTTAACCTGCAAGTAATAAGTAATCATATTTTAGAGCATAAAAGTTTATGCACCAGAAGATTTGTATAAGAAAGGACTTCGCTTTTCTATATCCTTCAAGGAATGCAGCCTAGATTGGAAGAATGAAGGAAAAGTATTCACATAGTTGTTAAGAGTCAACCGAGTTAACTTGAGTTGTACACCCACAACTTTAAATGGCAGTGAGGAAGAACATATCCAGCACTTACAAAAAAGAACCTATCTTGCAGACAAGAGTCAAATTATAAATAATACCAAACAAAGATTAAAAAAAGAAAAGGAAGAAGAAGCAGCTTTGCATTTTATAATAAGAGCAGGCTGCAAGCCTTGAAGACAAACGAAAACAGGAAAAATGTAAACATGCCAAATTACAGAGAATCAAAATATAAACAGTTAGCATATCATGCTAGATTTCAAAAGTGAAAAAGAAAAAAAAACCAAGGCAAAAGCCAAATTAACACCACAGAAAATTTTAATTTTAAACTTTTCCACTGATATAAAGAATCAAACCTTTATTTTTCCTAGATTTCAAGATTACTATATACCATTTTCCTTTTTTCTCTTTAAGACCTAATCCAAAAAACGATATTGTTAAAAACCAACATTCAAATATTAACCATTTTAATTAGCATTTTTATCACTGTATTTTTTTAACTATCAAAGTACCCAACAGCTAAAAAAGCATGAAATCGCATTTAAATGAATTAATTACAAAAGAAAAAATCTTTTAAACTATTAATTAGAGTTGAAAATAAAATGCAAGTCTATATTTTGCATAATTGAGCTAAATGGACTTGTTATTACCTGAGAATTCGTTGACCAATCAGTTGAGAAATTTAAAAGAACCAGGAAATAGTAAATAAAATTAAAAAACTGGATAAATAAAAATTATGCTTCTTAAAATAATTAAACACTGATTTGCAAGAAATAAAGGTATAGAATTAGAAACTTTACTATTTTTAGCTATTTTACACGGGAAAAATAAAAGGAATAAAAAAGAGATACTTGGGAATAAAAGAATCACTATAAAGTTTAGAGATTTAAGAATAACCAGAAAAATTCGAACTACCCAGGAGAAATTGAATCGATAAAAAGAAAATCCAAAATCAAAATGTACAGATCAAAGAAACGCCCTTTTGAAATCGAAGAATTTTCAAAACCCTAACCCTAGAATCGAATTCAAGACACGGGAATGGGTGAAATAAGGATCAAATGAAAGAGGAGAAAACCAATAAACGGGTGAGAATCGAATTGAAGAAACAACAACGAAAGATTTGAAGGAATTTTAGCTAAAAAACGAGAGAAATCGAGACGGATTTAATTTGGGATGGCAAAATGGGTAAAGTTAGGGCAAGGTTTATTTATAGGAATCTGATTGGTGATCTCCGATGGCTGGAGGAAAACGGAGAAGTTACTAAAAGAGGTAGAATCTGTCGGAAAATTACGCAAAATGCCACTTTGGGATTCTGGGATCCAAAGGGGACTGATAAGGAAATGGATTTGTCTGACGACTTTGATGTAAGAAATTTACGTTGATCGTCCAGTTGCAAGCCACGTGGAGGCATGCAGTTGGATGTTTTACTCCTTTTCTTGACACATGCAAAATGTGTTTCTTTTCGTTGAAAATAAGGTTAAATTTCATAGAATAGATTTAAAATATTTAGTTGTATAATTTATTTTTTAAAAATAGTTATTTTTTGTTTGCACTAACATATATTTATTTGTATTATTTCTAAAATATAATTTGAAAAATTTTAATATTTGATTATTAGTGCACAAATGTTTTAAACTACAAATTTTTCAAACAAAATATTTTAAAAATAAGAATAAATAAGAAGAAAAAAATATAATAATAAAACGTTAGATTTTTTTTCATTATTTTATTTTCTTTTCTCCCTTTGTTTCTTTTAGTAAAAATTTAAAAACATTTTAGTCACATTAAAATCCAAACATCTAGATCAAATACATATGCTTGTATAAATTTTCTTAAAAAATAATTTTAAATTATAACTTTTTCTATGATATTTGTTTGAAATAAGAGATTGATATTAAAACTTGATGTCGTTTCGGTATCTTATTAATTTTTTATTTCTTTCAAAATAATATTTTATTAATAAAACATCAAAATTTTATAATTTGACCGTATATAGAAACTATACAACATCAACGCATCATATATTAATCTAAAATATTTTTATCTATAAAATAATAGGGATAAGAGGTTTGTACTTATAAAATTGTATCCTACACTTTTTCCTATGCTTCAGCATAGGCTTAATCCAAGTAAATAGGTGTAGTGTATATTATATATATATATATGAATTTTAAAAGACCAACAAGGTTGTAACTTTTTTTGCAAACAAGGCAAATGGTTAAAAGTTAGGGTCAAACAATGGGATAACACTAATACCTCCTTTAAAAAGGTGTGGTTGGATTTAAACCCTGGAGCTTTAGAGTTGAATATTTTTCTTCACCACTTCTACTCACGTTTAGACCAGTAGACTTCCGGTGTATGCCACATGTAGCTTAGTTGTCAGATTCAATCGCAGCTTAAAAGCATGTGAAAGGGTTCATTTGGAACCTCCATGACCTCTCTTTTATACTTTGTGGTGGGGCTGGGTTGTTGGCTAAACTGAAGGCAACTCCTTCGATCTTAACTCGTTCTTAGATTTTAAGCTTACGCTAATGATTTTGTCCATGTTGACTACAACTTGCTTGATTCAGATTGTGATAGTTGTGGAAATTTTCAACCGCAGAGCAATTTTCCACCTCTGCAGGATTCTCAGTGAAGAATAATATTTGCTTATTTGCAGAGATATGGAAAGAGATGGAAGGGGGACCCTTTGAGCCTTTTGCCTATGCATTGGCAACTCGCTTGTGTCAAAGTAAAATCCAACTAGAGTTGTCTTTCTTCTCATGCATAGCTTTTTTGAACTTTCAACCGCTGTTTCTATGCTGAGCAGCACAATGGGTTATGAAAAGTAGAAGATTAGCCAACAACTCTTGTGGAGATCAAATGATCTTTAAGAGCATAAGTATTTCAATAAAGGGACAAATGGTTTATGAAAATTTCACAGTTCTCAGATGACACAAGGTCAAATCGAACAAGAATAAAGTTTTCTAACAGACAAGTAACGGAGATATGGTAATATTATCAAATACAATGTAAGGCACAGCACAGAGCCTTTTACTTTCACCATAATGGTAAATTCCAATTATGCTGGCTACTATGGGAAAGCAAGGAACAACAAAACTCGTCAAAAAAATCAATAGTAAAGAATCAAACTGACAGCCTCGAACTGTAATCCATTGACCGGCAACATAAGCATCCAATCTGTGCATCACATTTATGCCACGGCAGGCATGTCCTTGAGCCATGGATCCAGTGGCTTACCAATTGAGTACACTATGAAACCAATCTCCCTGAGCTGGTCCACATTCACAATGTTCCTGCCATCAAAAACAAAAGCTGGTTTTTGCATGTTGTCGTAAATCCTCTTGAAGTCAAGATTCTTAAATTCATCCCACTCAGTCAAAATGCAAATTCCATGTGCATCCTTCGTTGCCTTGTAAGCATCCCAGACACAAGTGACTTGCTTAACAGTTGTGGGACTCATAGGCTGCAGGTGAAGCGGGTGGTCCCAGTCAAACTTGTTCATAGTAAGGTCCCTCTGGATCTGGTCCTCAGTGACCTGCGGATCATATATGCTCAACTGAGCTTTGTCTCCCAAAAGCCCTTTGCACACATCAATGGCCGGGGTCTCCCTAGTATCACCAGTATCCTTCTTGAAGGCAAACCCTAAGACAGCAATCTTCTTGTTTGAAACTGTGTTAAACATTGAGGAAACAACACGGTTCACAAAACGGTTCTTCTGATAGTCATTGATCTTAATGACTTGCTTCCAATACTCTGCCACCTCTGGAAGACCATTGCACTCACAGATGTAAACCAGATTTAGAATGTCCTTCTGGAAGCAGGAACCACCAAAACCAACACTAGCATTCAAAAATTTGGGTCCAATCCTCGTGTCCTTACCAACAGCATATGACACCTGTGTAACATCAGCCCCAGTTGCCTCACAAAGAGCAGACATGGCATTTACAGATGAAATCCTCTGAGCCAAGAAAGCATTGGCAGCAAGCTTGGAAAGCTCTGCAGACCAAAGGTTGGTGGTCAGAATTCGTTCTTTAGGGACCCAATGAGCATAAACATCCTTCAATGCTTGGACAGCCTTATAACCTTCAGGGGTTTCCCGGCCCCCAATGAGAACACGATCAGGGTTAAAAAGATCTTGAATTGCAGTTCCCTCTGCAAGGAACTCTGGGTTTGAAAGAATTTGGAATTTAATTCCCTTGCTATTATGGGTGAGAATCTTTTCAATTGCCTCTGCAGTTTTGACAGGGACTGTTGATTTCTCAACTACAATCTTGTCAGATTTTGATACATCAGCAATCATGCGAGCAGCACTTTCCCAATATGTCAGATCTGCAGCTTTGCCAGCTCCAAGCCCCCGAGTCTTGGTTGGAGTATTGACAGAAACAAAGACAATATCAGCCTCACGCACATGTTTCTCAACATCAGTGCTGAAGAAAAGGTTCTTGCCCCGACACTGCTTTACAACACCATCAAGACCAGGCTCATAGATAGGGAGCTGGTCACTGTTCCATGCATTAATACGAGGTATAGAGATATCAACAACAGCCACTTCAATAGATGGGCATTTAAGTGCAATCACAGCCATTGTAGGCCCACCAACGTAACCAGCTCCAATGCAACAGATCTTCACCATTTTCTTTGTATACTATAACCTAAACAAGGAGAAGTATTCAAATATCAGATTGTGAAAACCACCTCAATCTTCCAAAGCAGAAACAAAATGGTGAATCTAGAAGAAACTTAACAACCATTGTCATTTCAAAAACAGCAAGATCCATATGGTAATTTGTATGTAGCTAGTATTTTGTCAGTTTATGTAATATGCTATCAGAAAGCACCAAATCTCCTATCATGTATTATTGCATCTGATTATGGCCTTTCCAAAAGCTTCCTTCAACAACCATACTAGGCTAAGCTTCCTAATAATTCTTAAACGTGATTCTCTTAGAAAATAGAAAGTTAAACTGATATTGAAAATGAACTACTACTCAAGCATACCACAGAAGACAATAACTAGATAACAATATACTATCAGATCTGAGTGAGGCATCCAAGCACAGACAACTATCCCCAGTTACATTTTAACTAACAGATCAATAAATTGAGCATAAGACAAATGATAGATCCATCATTTAAAAGAAAAGGTAACGAAAATCAATACAATTCAATTTAGATCCACAGACAATTAGCTTGGTTCAATATTCCTATCCAAGTTTAAAGACAAAGACATTAACACAATTACAGATCAACCAAATGGACAACTTGGCAAACAGATCGGTCTAGTTAACCAACTAAAAACGTGCTCATTTTATAAAAAAGAAACTACTCACTTTCATTGATGAAAACCAGTTGGAAAAAAGCAAGAGATTTCGAGTCTTTTCAAATAGAGACTCAGATCAAGAACTACCATGTAAGTTTTATCTAGTTAACCATCAAAACAACCTTAATTACAAAAACAAAAACTACCCATTTTAGTTCATTAAAAACCACTGTGAAAAAGGAAAGAAAGTTTGAATCTTGTCAAATGGAGACTCAGATCAAGAATAAGCACTCAAAAGGACTCACTTTTAAGCAGAAAAAGAAGCAAGAAAAACACGACCCACAAAACGAAGGATACCCAAATCAATAAAACGAAAATGCAAAGAAAAAAAAGAATTGAAAATGGAAAAATTTATGTTAATTTACCTTAAGAATCGCTCCTCAAAGATAGACAGAGAGTTCAGAGAGAGAGAAGCGACGAGCTTGCCTTAACGATATGAAATCAGATGAGCGGGGTGGTTGTTTTATAGTCAACGTAGTTCCATTTGTACCCTTGTCATTTTTCAAATATTCCAATTTAGCCGTCGAAGAAGGGAGGGTAAATAGGTAAAGTGAGTACCCACTGAAATTCTTGTCAACTGAAATGAAATTACAGAAATGGGTACTGGTACAAAGAACGGTGCCGGATTTATCATCTTTATAATATTCTCTACGCGGTTCTTTCAGCAGCAGGGCATAATCTGGTCTGGACTCCAATAGGAATTGATGAGGACCTTCCTTGATGTCACAGGCAACCCATTTTAGGCTTTCATAATGGTTTTTGACCAGTCAAAGGTTTTGTCTATGTGCTTTGCCTTTGGTAGTTTCATGGAATGTGGTTTGCTAGTTGTGTGAAGTGCCCTTTTTACTTCAAATTTTATCAGTTAATGTTCTTCAAACATAAACAGTATAGATTGTTTAATTTGAATAATTTTAATGTACAATTATGCTATATGGAACCTTTCTAGCTGAACCAAATTTGGCAAAAGTTTCAGCTGTCATACACACACTGAATCACTTTCCCCTTGGCATTCTTGCTTTTTAGATTTTCTTTCATATCTTTTATCTTCAATACAATTTCTTTCATCTTAATGTTGATAAAAAGTTTCTTGTCTGTATATCCAAAGTAAATACAGTGTCTTGCAAAACTTCAACTTGCTCAAAAACAACCAAACTGCAGATATGTAAATTATATTTTGGGGGCTGGCTGAAATTGTCACCATCTCTAGATCCTCCAAATTAATGACTGTAGAAAACCCTATTTGAGAAGCCAAAGTTGCTCTGCCACACACTAGGGAAAAAAAGGTATGAAGTCTAATTGTCATGTTAGTTGAGGTTAGCTAGGGTTCTAGAAATTCTGTTGGAAACTATATATTCTGATTGAAGTATTGTTGTAGAAAGTTTATAATTTTTTATGTGATCAATGATTTTCATGTGCATTAAGGTCCTGGATCATGACTAATCATAATTATTAATTGCACAATTTTCTGGTGGGGAGAGAGTATGAAGGGGAAATCTTCAAAATAAAGAATGAACTTGCTTGAGGACTCAGGAAAAAAAAAGTTTTGAGTGCAATTGAAGCCTGTTCAGTAGTAGGATATAAACAGACTGGAAACCAAGGAATGAATCATAAGGAAAAAAGGTCCTATTGATGATGATGGCTCATAACAATGACAACAGGGTAATCAAAAATAATAATAAATAATACAAACAAAACAATAAAAATAAGAAATCTAATAAAAAGTTTGAAACAAAAATCCAGTCCAAATAAGAGTTTTTATTTTAAAAAAAAAAGGAATAAAGGCCTCTAAAATTTATTATTCAAAGAAGTAGTGAAGATAAGAACTAAACCGACCCATTAGCCCAAATTGGCCCAAATTGACCCATTTGCGTGACTCTGACCCAACAGTATTGGCCCAGGATACAAATCCAGCCCAGAAGGTCTCAACTGTGATTATGTTGAACAATCAAGGGTATTTCCATAGCTACCATTATTTGGTCTTTCCCCATCCATAACGGTTATTAATCAAATCAATCCCCGCCTATTTCTCTAAATCTCTTAATCCAACGGTCACTGTTAAAACCCAAATTTTCAATTATTAATCCGACGCCCACAAGCAACCCCAAAAACTAGCCGTTACACAGAGCGTCC